CATTGTCTGGAGCCCTATGTTCCACTCGGAAGGCGAAGGAATGAGAATAAATTTTTATTATAAGTCAATCTGAACGAAGAATATGCTTTGCAATAATTTCTTCTCATGTTCTTACAATTATAAATTAAATTTTTGTTTCCGTTACAATAATGGTCAGTTATGCAGCGGATATATTTTTACGTAGAATTTTACGAAGGGTGTCAAAATAAGTAGCATTTATATGACAAAAGTCTTGCTAGGCTGAATTCAACTACAAAATATAGTGAGATGGGAGACAATGGTGGTGGTTAGTCATAATAGATTCGTAGAATGTGGGGTAGGAAAAAATTGACAAGTCAGTTCAAGGTTATAAAAGGTGTTAGGAGTTAATGGCTAGTACAAAGTAGTGTGTATTAGGAAGGAGATAGTAAGACTGCAATGAGAGGTTCATAATTAAATAACCAATGTGTGAAATGAAACAGGTGGATGCATATATTGGGAAAAGAGATAATATCACTAATGATAAGTCCGGATATTATAAATGGAAAATTCAATAGTATTGATAGAATGTTCAAATGAAGGGTGTAAATTATGACTAATAGTAACAATAATAATAATTGTAATAATAAGCAAAGAAAACAGCACAAAAAAATAAACCAAGAGGGTTAAGGGGAAAAAACACTCTTGGTGAGAAGAAGAATCATCAATCCAAGTTCAGCTACGGTAGGAACAGCGTCTGGACGTGTTCTTTTTGGATACACAGCTTGAGCTATGTGTAGGAGACGTAAGCGAACTGTACGTGAAAACAACTTCGAAATTTGGTATGCAACCCTGAAGGCTGTGTGTTGGCATCGATACGATGGTCCAGTATCGACCACGTGTGACAGAATTGAGCTTTTTTTATGCATTTAATTTCCCCCCCTTGCTGAAACTAATTGCACCACCACTTTCTTCCCTATTTCACAATATTTCGTAACTGAATTCAGTCTAGCACGACGTTTGTCACACAAATACGACTATTTATTTTGACACCCTATACATACTAACTAATCTGTTATTCTACGTTAAAAATGTATCCACCGCATAACCGACCATTTTATTGTAACGAAAACAAATATTATAGTTTATAATTGTAAGAACGTGAGAAGAAATTATTGCAGAGCATATTCTTCGTTCAAACTGAATTTAATTCATAATATGGGAATATTCCACATTATGAATATATATATATATATATATATATATATATAGACAAATTGTGATAGAGTTTATTATGAAATTTTTCGCACTGATAGAGTTTTTGTTATGAAAATTACACTTATGTATATCATTCACAAAAGTAGCGATTTACTAGTAATCTGTAATGTAATCTTGGATTAGCGAAATCTTAGGTACTAAGAAAATGAAACGATTGAAACGTGCGTACTTTCACGTAGAATATGAGTAAATTCGATCAATAAACAAAAAACTTGCATAATATATGCTCGAATTTCTTAACGAATATATATATCTAGCATAGAATTGTTAATTTTGTCTATGATCAAGATTAATTTAATCTAACGAGTGATAATATTAATTATTACTGTTAATTATTATTAGTAGTTGTAAATGAGCGTGAACATTGAACGTTGGTTCATTGACCTTGGTCGCCATTGGCGGGCAACTCGAAGGCGCGAATAATGATTCAATCGTGTACAAGTTGGAAGAATACAAAAGAATACGAATAAAAGTACAATACATTCCTTGTAAAACACTTTTGTTTATAGACTTTGTACCAATATCGATCTTAATTGCTGAACAATACAACTTATTACAAGTCTTTGTGTTTTGGAGTTGAAGTCGATAATCGTGCATAGTAATTATCAATTCGGAGCGTCTTCACAAATAATAGGAACTTAGGGTTAAGTTCCTTGACGCAGTAATTATAACACTAATCTGTGGACAAAACAGATTAATAGATTAGTTAGCAGTTTACAAACAAGATGACTATGACCATTCCAAGGACATATATTCACATGAATAAAATTGCTCATTTGATAGTAATTGATATGCTTAAAAAGGCTTAGTCTTAAATTGAAAACAAGGCAACTTATAGAGTCACTCTTAACAACAGGCAAACAGGCAAGTCGAATTACTTTTATCGACTTTTCGAGAGAACTAACAAAAGTGTCATTTTGGGAAAAAAATTGAGCAAAGAATATCCCTTTTCGATAGTCTCCTCTTCCGGCTTTACAATTGTAGATACATTTATACACACAGAATATTCTGGAATAGTAGTCGATAATAATATTGGTGTTTTTTTAAATAATATCGATGTGTTAAGTAAGATCAATGAAATTACAGTTCACTAAAGATGCATAAATTATAGTAATAAGCATAGAAATATAATAGCAAATAGAATATCAAATAAAATTAAGGAAATTTCCACAACAAACTGAGAATAATTAGAACCTTGACGACCAGCGGGGTAAGGACAGTGTCTGAACCAACCAACTTTTTTTCGATACACAAGTAAGGTTTCTTAATGTGAATCCCAACGACCAGCCTCCGCAATATGTAATAGACAAACTCTTAAGGTAAGTCTTCGATTTTGTGTGACATCAAACATAAATCATCCACGCGCGAAATCCAGGTCTTCTAGGTTCTTCACGTCGGTGGTTCAGGATATCCCTGTCTTCTCGTTTCTCACTGTCTGACGCATAATCCAGTCCACCAGAATTAGGAATATCATTGGTGATAATAAGCACCCTTGTCTGACTCCTGTGTTTACTCCAAACGCCTCGCTGAGTTTTCCGTTGTGGATCACCTGACATGTGCTGTTGTCGTACAGATGTCTTTGGTTAGTGTCACTTAATATCTTCCAGACAGTAGCCCAACAACTTCTAACAGGCTTCAAAGACCAGTGTGGTATGTGATCTGATATAAACATTTTGAGGCCAGTTTTATTATCTACATCTCTATAGTGATTATCGCATATCATTGATGAAGATGGCCACAAACGAATAACATCTGCACATCGATATTGTATCCGGGTATTTTTTTAAATTTCATTCCTTTACGTTCCCATAGGACTTCAAGCTAGAGGTTTGAAGTGTCGGTAGCATTGGTGTTTATTTTTACGGGTTGACGTTGCTAGCGTCATGCCCAACCTTCCCTCTTCAACGGTTGTATTACCAGTTTTAGCGAAGTATACGAATGCGTCGTTAGCTAGCATTCTATGGCTAAGTCGCCGTCGATACACCCATTGACTGGGCACTGGCTTTCAGGAGAACCAATAACACCTATCCCTACATCTTGCAAGAGGAGACCAGCACTCAGTATTATCCTGTAGTGCAACCACTCGAGAAATGCGATTAAATATGCATGATTACACGCAGTCTATTACAGGATAGAATCTGGTAACCTGCTTAAATCACTGGGATGCATCATATTTACTGCATTTCATATTTAGTTTTAACCATCTAACTGAGTCCATGCATCTAGAACCAACACTCTTTCAAAAACATTTCAACCCACTGCTATGATATCTTTCTGAAGGAAATGGGAGAAAAACTTTTCCGAGTAATGAAACATGCTTTAAAATAGGACAACATTGCTTCAAATGATGCGTTATCGACTAATATATATCACTTGAAGATCTTGCAATAAAACAAGCTGAAAATTCTTTACTGGGTTAAAAAAACGAACTTTTTAGAATAATGCTGTTACTATCATTATTATTATTATTACCACTGGAATTTTCATTACTTTCGACTGAATTATAGGTGACTAATGAACACTAGACTTTGAGATTAGTACGACTATTAGTACTATCAATCATAAAAAGATAACAGTTGATGTGTGATTATCAAAGTCCGTACACAGTTAGATCACTCTTCAATTGTTTTTGGTTTTTTAACTTGTAATTGCGAAGTCATTTTCTGCACAGCTTAAATCATAAGAAACCATGGAAACCATGTGCGTTGGTAGTTCGGCGGTGGAGTGCTCGCCGGGGTTCAATCCCCCGCCGTCGAGGCACTCCTTTACCTTGCTCAACCAGTAACAAGACCGGTAAAGAGGGAAGGTTGGGTGGCATGAGGCTAGCTACGCCATCCCGTAGAAGCAAACACCACTGCTGCCGTAACTTCAAAGCTCTAGCATGAAGCCCTATGTTCCAATGGGAACTTAGAGGAAAATCAGTTCAAAGAACTTTTAATGCTGGCGAACTACACGTATTATTCTCTACACGACCGATAGTGCTACCTCGACTGAAAGATGAAGTACCTAGACTAGCCACTTCAAATTGTATCTATCAATTCAACTGCGCTTGTGGAGCCAGTTATATTGGCCGTTGCTCTAGGAACTTGATTTTTCGTGCTCGCTCGAGAACATCTCCCACTATGGCTAAGTAAAGATGTAGTTAAAACTATTAACAGCTCCATATTAGACCATCTGGTACAAACCGGTCACAAAGCCAGCCAGCGTAGAAGAATCCTTTTCTATAGTATACCGGGTGCCTAACAAATTACCAAAATCATCGAAGCACCTCATGCTCCAAACATCAGAGGCTATTGCAATTCGCCTCTGTGTTCAAAAGAAACAAGTCCAGCCCCTACTACTGCCCTGGCCAGCCTTCAGTAGAAACTATAAACTCATGAATTTGTATATTATCTTTCCTATTTCTTCTGACATTCAATTTATTTTGTGTTGATGCTACTGAACTGTAATCTATTGATATTATTGATTCGATGTTATTTAAACAGCATTAATGTTGTTCATAACACTAATTCATTCATTCACTATTATGCATATATAACTGTAGAGCCTGATGATGAAGTTATCGAAAAGAGTACTCTTTGTTCAGTATCCATTCCTGTGAAAATTTTAATGGGCATTTTTAATCAGTTAAAATAATAATCTAAGAGATTTTCGTGTTAAAAGTACACTATGACCGAAACTAAAAGTATATATAGCATGTTATATAAGGTGGTGGTATACAAGGTAGGTGACAATGAAACAAAAAAAAGAAAAAAACAACTCACATCATATGTAGGCAAATAATTCATCCCATCTTCATTCGATGTTTCACAATGTACACTGATGACATCACCTGCTTTTTGAGACTTATTTGTCGGTTTCAATTGATTATGATGATGATGATTAGGTGTAGAATTATTCACTACAGGATCAGTTTTATCACCGTCTCCAGCACATTCAATAGCTATAACTGTTGGAGTTTTCCTATGATTATATGAACCATAATTATGATGGTGGTGGTGGTGGTCATGAATATGCTCCATATCAACACCATTTTGTTTGTTAGATTTTAATTCTTTATCCTATAAAATAGGAAGCCAAATAAAAGTGAAGTTTATCGAGGTATTCATTTGAACGCACAAAACTGTTATAGTGATGTTTATTGAATAATATTGAAAAAAAGCATTTAGTCTTCAAAGTGATAAAAACAATTCAACATGAGTATAAGTATTTCCTTTTTTTCACTTCTTAAGGCAGTTCCATTACTAGTTAGAAATATATATTGTTACTGCAGACATTTTCCCGACGTGTGACAGTAATCACTGCCCTGTGGCTTGATTAATATTCTTTTTTTAAATGCATGGCATGCTGAAATATTTCCATTTACTACTTTTCAAATAATCTGTGCATGTGAAAGAAGTAAGCTACATCGGCAGAGCAATAAAAAGATAGTATTGAAAATATATTAATTCATGAACGAGCCATTGGGTTGATTCCCAGTGGCTCAATGGTCTACAAGTTCGCCTTGTAACCAGAAGGTCCTGGGTTCGAACCTTGGCGGTGGATGCGTACTGTTGAAGCATCCTAAACTAGGCTGACGAAACAGCTGTTCACTACTCCCTGTTGGTTTTTTCAACTGGTTCTCCAACCAATGGCAGCTCATGATGAAATCATGAAACTCATGCAAAACAGTTCAGCATATGTTCTGATATGGCTTGGAAAGCATATTCATTAAATGTCGATTCATCCTAGTTTCATTAGGCTGGCTGGCAAAAGAGACTGATTCATACAGGTTAAACCTTGGAGAAAAGAGATAACAATAACCAGTAAAATAATGACTACTACTATGGGCAATATCCATTCGCAAACATATAAGTATAGCTAACTACAATCCCTGTCTGTGAAATAATTATTAACAATCTTCTCAATCAACAATTGATGATTCTAGTGATACGATAAACAAAAGTGAAATGATGCTGCAAGATTCCAGCCACAGAAAGATTATTATTTATTTAAACGCAGAAAAAACTTGGTACAATATGGCACCAAGAAAGATGTGCCACACAATAATAATAAAACAACATAGATTAAAAGTAAAAATATGAGTAGAAAACGGATAAAGAACTTCATCTGGAACGAAAACAGTCAGGTTTAACAAGTCCAAACAGTATTCGTTAACTATCATCAGGAAGGGAAGAAAGAAGGAAATTGCAACACGTTCGCCACTGATTGCGATTCTTGGCCATATCCGATAACGTTTCGAGCCATCGATTCGAGCTATCTTGCGGACTCCAACCAGGGAGTCGTGACGCACCAACCGATGCTAATCTAGCACAAAAATCCCTCATCCCATGACGCCACGTCATGGACTGACCACCCCTCCGCCTTTTCCATCCTGTCCCAGGGCTAGAGAACAGAGACCTGTACGGAAGCCTCTGGGATGACATTCGCGGCACATGTCCAAGCCACCGGAGCCGGTGTTTCCAGATGACGACTCCCAATGAATGGTAATCTCCACTGTGTTCAAACACACGCCGCCGAACCTCAGAATCACTCAAGCGATGATGCCATCGAACGCAAGCAATCCTGTGGAGATAGCGATGATCGAACACGCAGAGTCGCCGCACATCCTCAGCTCGGAGAGGCCAGGTTTCACAGGCGTAGAGCGAGACAGCCGGCACCGAAGCATTGTATACCCGACCTTTGACAGCCAGGCTAACGTCACGACGGCGCCAGAGGTGGCTCAAGTTGATGTATGCCACAGAAAGAGATTCTGTATGATCAAGGAAGATGTAGTACTTTGGGTGTTTATCACAATGTAGACACAATTTTTCGCATCTGTTCACAGCTCTACATAGATAACACTTCAGTTTGACAATAACTGGATATAACCGAAGTTGATTTTAAGCCACCATCTTAGAGCTTAAGAAAACTTTGCTCCTGAAAAATTAAACTTATTGAATAGAAAAGTAGGAGGTACAAATATGACGTAAATGAAAGGCGAAATTATTCATCATGAAAATGAATCAAAGATAATCAAGATATATTTGACTTTCAGTTTCGGAATCCACACAGTACCATACTCACAAATAACATAAGCACACTACATCCAATCAAAATACGCTTATAAAGGTGACTGGATTCAGCTTCATTGTGATACAAAGATGAATTGACGTGTTGCGCATACCGAGCCATCGTCTTCCTTAACGGATAATGTCCATTGACATAGTATTCGGTTGAAAGAGTTGGTAGTGGTTAAAATCTGCCGTAAGTTCGTGAAGTCTTTGACAGTTGATTTGTGCCACGTAGAGAGAGAGGTGTAGACTGTCTACAGACTACTGGTGAAATGGCTCAAAATCGTTCTCAATGAATAGCGCAGATGTATTCCTTCTGTGTGATTTATCATATCCAATAAAACTCTATGATTCTTCCATATTACTATTCTTCCTGCCTCACACTTCTGTTTATCATTTCGCTTTTGAACCTCCCTTTACTCTCTTCTCTTCTGCTTTGTGTGCTTCATGGAGGGAGTGTGACAACTTGAACTGCTGGGCTAAATTCTATGTTCCAATTCAGTTGGTTGGAAGATGTATTGATAGAATGACATGCAGAAACTAATACGATGTGAATTTTCCAACGACACTACTTCAACTTATTCCGTGTTCATTACATTACATTACATTTTCAACACTTCCAACTTATTCAAATTCGAAAGACGCGCCGTTTCCCTAACGATATCTGATTAGTCAACAAAATTTTGTTGACTTCTGATCTTAAAATTTAAATTTTAACAAACGTTTGACTGAAATTGTAAGACGGTGAGGAGTAAATGCAGAAAGAGGCCAAATAAGTATCCACTAACTTATAAACTGTAATTCTACACTTAAAATTAATTTCTAATTACACCTTCCTAAACTCCTCCTAATCGATAATGTAACACATAACAGATTACTTTTTTTCCTTCTAAAAACAGAGGTTTCTACTAGTTTTCCTATGGACGGTGAGATATCGAAATTCCACCATAGTTGAATATATTTGACGTTGAACTACGTCAATAAAACCACGACATTATCCAATATGATCTACTCCAGTGTCATTCAGTTGTCCATTTTCATAGATAACTTACCAAAGACTAATGGAATTCTAATGTTGTAGCTCAACAACGAGGTCGACAGTTTCTAATGTAGTAAGTACTCCTCTGAATTTGATAGTTACTGGTGTACTTTTTTTTATCTCTAAATCATGTCATCTCTCTCATCATCAAGACGAGAGAGAGAAAAAAAGACGAAGGTAAAATGGCTTGGCTTGTATAATAATATCCGATTGACCTTGAAAAACACAGAGTTCAACGTGAAGCATAAGTTTCATGCTACACACACGTTCACATTTATTTGAATCGTGACTTCTTTTAGGTTCACTTTTTGTCGAAAGGCCTTATTGATTATTCGACGAATGATTCATCTACAAACAGTAGCGGTTTGGTTGAACTTTTGAGTTTTATGCTCCAATTTTTTATGCATTTCAAGTAGAACACAGGAATACAATAATTCTGCACTATAGATAACATTTCACTAAGCACAATTTCCTAGTCATAAGCATACACACACCAAAGTGATATCTCAGCTCTTCTTTTTTAACGTAGAATACAACGTTAACGTTTAGAAAAACAATCCGTAGATAATGTAGAATTATTCACGATGCATTTTAAGCAGATACATTGCCTAAAGTTTGAAATAATGCCTCCCTTCATAAACATCGTAATGGCGAACCACCCAGTATGGTGGCCACATTACGAACCTGAATGACAGGACTCAGTCTGCACCGAAGACCGGACTAGACACACTACACTAGTTACTGACTAGTGTCCAATCAAAAATACCCAATAAAGTCCTACTGGAGGTCAATCGCTAACCTGAATAGTTCAGTGGTAACGTCTCTGACTACAGCCCCACTGGGTGACGTGGATTAGTTTCAGAAGGGGCATGAGTTCCTTCGGGGTTGCACATACGCCTTGCTGACGGGTGAGTACCAACTAGCACGAAACCCAGGTCGAAGGCTTTCTGTGGCCGATTGCCTCCAACCATATAATACCAACAGTTCTCAGTGCACCGTGATGGCGAGGCGCCTAGCATGGTAACTACATTGCAAGCTTGACTGATAGAAGTCAGTCTGAACTGAAGATAGGACTAGACACACATTACATTAGTTACTGACTAGTGTCCAATCGTAAAGACAACACTTTTTGATAGAAGTGATTATTAAATGATCTTTGAATTTAAAATAGTTGCTAAAATAGAGTTCTGTTTTTTTTCATTTTTATTCTCTACCTGTCACACTAAGCATCAGCATTATAGTACAGTGTACGTCTCATCAATGGAACTATTACTGCTTCCAGTCAATGAATTACTATTATTGTTAATTTTCAAGTATTGGTTTTGTAGGGATTTTGTTTGATTGCATGGAGGATTTCATCACAAGCTGACATCAGTTAGAGAACCACTGGAAAACCTGGGAGTACTGGATAGCTGTTTCGTTCTAGTTTGGGACTCTTCACATTACGCACCCACCGAGATTCGAATGTAGGACCTTCTGTTTACAAGGCTAGCGAGCTCGTAGACCATTGGATCCGGTCGCAGTGGCTCAATGGTCTACAAGCTCGCCTTGTAACCAGAAGGTCCTGGGTTCGAACCTTGTTGGTGGATACGTACTGATGAAGAGTCCCAAACTAGGACGAAACAGATGTCCAGTACTCCCAGGTTTTCCAGTGGTTCTCTAACTGATGTCAGCTCATGATGAAATCCTCCATGCAATCATTGAATATTACATATATTTTTGTAATATTTTTTATTGTTATATTTTTCAGCATAATTGATTATTTTGAGTTATCTATTCATAAGAATCGACTATTTTTGCTCAAAGCATCATCCTAGTAGTAAATAACACCCCCATACTAATGTGGCATATGAATCAAGCTATTCTAGTAAGAGAATTATATATTCTACCAAAGTGTTCGAGATCCCTTCTAAAATACCAATGAATTTCGGGGAAAAAGGTCTAGAGTTTCCTTAGTTTTTCTTCTTGGTTTGATGACAACAATAACTGAAGACTATTATCAGTTGGTGCTTATTATCAACAATGATATTCCTAATTGTGGTGAACTGGATTATGCGTCAGACAGTGGGAAACGAGAAGACAGGGATATCCTGGACCGACGTGAAGAACCTAGAAGACCTAGATTTCGCGGATGATCTGTGCTTGATGTCACACAAAATCGAAGACTTACAAGCGAAAACCAAAAAACTGGTCGAAGAAGCAGCAAAGACAGGACTCCAGGTGAACATAGACAAGACGGAGGTTATGAAAATAACCGAACAACAGCTACATTCAACGCCAATCACCATCAACGAAAGGGATTTGAAAGAAGTTACTTCATTCACTTATCTAGGGAGCACTGTCTCAACTACAGGAGGAACGGACGAGGATGTCAAATCGAGAATCAGGAAGGCGAGAAACACATTCATCAACCTGAAACCAATCTGGAAATCTTCGTCACTCCTCAGCATCAACAACAAAATTCGGATTTTCAATACAAACGTCAAGTCAGTCAGTTCTTCTATACGGATCAGAAACTTGGCGGGTCACAAAGGATATTTCCAACAGCCTGTTGCAGACCTTTATCAACAACAACTGTCTTCGCTCTATACACTGAAGATGAGATGGCCGGAAAGAACAAGAACCAACAAGAGACTACGGGAACAAACAAAACAAGAACCAATCGCCAACGAACAAATATGCAGGAGAAAGTGGAGATGGATTGGACACTCGCTGAGGAGGCCACTGGGTGACATCGCGCGTCAGGCCATCGCTCGAGTGGAACCCGAAAGGGAAGTGGCGAGTGGGACGTCCAAGGGTGACATGGAAGAGATCGTGTGAAGAAGAGTTGAAACAGTATGGATTAACATGGATGCAGGTGAAAAGTACAGCAGAAGACAGAAGCAAGTTGAGACGTGTAGCTGAGGCCCTATGTTCCACTAGGAACTCACCGGAGCAATGATAATAATAACTTTAAATGCCATAAAAACCTTCTGTTGAACTTTTGGAAGAAAAGTTAAATGTATTCTTTAATTTTCTAACATTTTAAATTCTCACACAGTTGTTTGCAAATATTGTGATAGTGAAAACAGTGGTCACATGGTTCAACAGTTCAACAGTGAAACGTAACACTTTTGGGACCGTTTCTATACATTTGCTAGCGAGGTTCATTACATAACTACATTAAAAAAACGAGATTGCAAACAATGACCCAGCATATAAAGCCCAAGTTCAAGGACTAATCAGCTACAGTTCTTAAAAAGAAATGACACGAGAAATGTAGCGTATTTCCAGAAAATCTTCTGCTACATCAGAATATAAACTCATTCACTAAAATCAACTATTGATAATTTCCAATTGTATACTAGATATGTGGACGACATCTTTATTGTCTGTGATGATGGTCACAATCTTAATCAATTACTACTAATATTCAACAACTGCCATTCAGCTACAAAGTTTACTCTTGAAGTGGAAAACGGATCTAAAGTTCCTTTTCTTGATGTTAAATTTACAAGAAGAGCTGACGGAAGCCACATGGAACGGCCAACTGACAAGCTTCTACAATTGGGTACCAATCAGTCGGAAAAGAAACCTAATTAGATCTCTTGCTACTCGCGTCCAACGCATCTGTAGCTCTGATTCCCTGGAAGAAGAACTACACTTCCTAAAAGGAAATCTTCATACAAAACGGATATCCACCAAGATTCATAGACAGAAAGATCAAACAGAAAATCCAAAAGCAAGAGACGCCATCCCTGCCAAAAAAGATACTTTATATGAACCTTGACTTCAAAGGTGACCTACTCAGTAATGTCCTTAAGAGGAAAATTTCCACTGCTTTAAGAAGAACATTTTTCGCGACGACACTGAGAGTAGTGTTCTCCAGTAGCCTAAAGGACAAGATCCGCACCTGACCATTTCTATGTGCGTATATCAGTTCACCTGTTGCTTTGGAGACAGGTACATCGGTCGTTCGACATGCAACCGGGCAAGAAGGGTCAAAGAACACTATCTAGCGTGGCTGCAGAAAGGAAGTAGTGACCGTGTAAGGAGTGAAATAATCGGACATCTTGTCACCAATGATCATTCCATCTCAACGAACACCTCCTTCAAAGTAATCTACAAAGCGAAGAACAACCTGCGAAAGACAACAGGTTTCCGTCTTCTTTGCATTGCACAAGCCCTAGCCATTCAGCTAGAAGAAGCAGGACTATGCATACAGTAGAAAATTATTCAACCACTTTTACTATCATGGTAACAATCCCGTTGATTTGACTTAACTTTTGCTTGTTTTTCTAACTATTTAAAACTCTTATGTAATTCCGTATTTTATTTTGTTTCCATGTTCCCCATGAGGCACAACTCTTTCCTAAAACTATTTATGTTATTGCATAACTCTTTTTTAGCCACTGTTTGTAACAACTCATCACCTTTGTTACTACATTACTTTCATGAACACCCAATTTTCTTGACCTCTTTTGTATTACGTAACTCTACTCAAAACTTACTAATTTTCACCTGTTTAGTTAAAATCACCATAACCAATTGTATTTTTGTTTGACAAACTTAATGTGCACATGCATACAAAATAACTCATGTATATATTTGCGATTGTATAGCTGTGAAAATCAGATCGCCGAAAAGAGACTCTTCACTGGACTACTGGTCTTCTCTCATCCACATATGTTGATGTTAGGTTGTTGGAGGCAATCAGCAGGTAGCCTTGGACCTAGATTTTGTGCTACTTGGCAATCACCCGTCAGCAAGGCGTATCTGAAACCTTTAAGGAACTCATATCCCTTCTGAGATTCGAACCCGCATATGCTGTTAAATGTAGCCTCCCAGTTCTATTGCACAATAGAGAAGAGAATCAAACACTTATGCTCATGACTAAGGGTTCATAGTGGAATATTACAGCTTGGAAAGCAGTAAATACTCGCAAGAGCGAAAAAAACTGTATAACTGAAATAATGGAGAAGATTTGTAGCTCAGATGGTTTGCCAGGATTCGAACCTACGCTGAAGCGGGATGTTGTCTAGAAGGACGATGATGAAAGCTTCGCAATTAAATCAACCAGCTCAGAGAACACACAATTAATTCGAATAGTATAATTATTTGTAAAAAAAATGATCAGCTTAAACGTACGTACCTTGAAACAATATGGAAGAAGACGGAGCATATATTCCAAAATGTAGAAAAATAATACACCAGCGCATACAGATATCGCTTTAGGTAAATACCAATTGGTACCCAAAGGATGACTTTCATTCGAATTGCCAACAAGTTCCAATGCCTAAACACAATACAGAAAGTCCATTCAATAACAACGAGAAGAAAAACAAAAAACAGTATAAATTTATTGAGGAGTCAGTCCTCCGTGAACATAAAAACAGATAAGGTTATAAATTGACCCAGTACAAAAAAAACATTTTTACATAAAATAATTTCAAAAAAGTAACTAATCTAGCTCACTGCTTAAGAAATGTTTTTCATTTTTTTTTATTACACCTTGATTCCACACACTATTTCGGTACATGTATGGAATTTTCAGCACATGATAACGGTAGCCCAAATTTTGTAGACCGACCATAGATATCAGGTGTGCGTCGGCAGAGGATCGAACCTCGGACCATATGCATGGTCGGCGAGAGTCCTAATCGCTGTGTCATTGTGAAGAAACAACTAATAAATTCTGATGATACAAGTTCACACTGGCTACTAAGGCGAATAAATGATTATTGAGATGGTGGAAAATACCCATTAGGATATTAGAAAGAAACGAACACAAAGTTCAGCAAACAGGTATCTTTTCGTCGATTTTATTTTCAAAAGCAGCTGTACAATCGCATATAAATACACAAATTTACACAGATACAATTATTATTTAATTCCACATAGTTACGATGGCGAAAAAAAAAGTGGCGATTATTTTCATTTTAATTTGGGTTGCGATAGGCTAGAGAGCTGGGAATCTCCAGCTCTTTAAAAAAGACCTTCCCCCTGCAGCAACACTAAGAGTGACATTCTCTAGCCGTCCAATACTTCTAAACAATGCAAAGGATAAACTCCCGCATATGACCAATTCAATGCGCATATATCAGTTCACTTGCTCATGTGGAGCTAGGTATATAGGTTGTTGTATGCGCATCTTTTCAGAACATGTTCAGGGAACATTATCCAGCATGGCTGCAAAGAGAAGGCATCGGTTCAATCAGAAGTGCCATAATTGAACATCTGATCAACACCTCTCACAGCTTTTAACTGATTCCTTCAAAATCATATATACAAAGTAAACAGAAACCTACCAAAGACAGTATGTTTCCGACTTCTTTGTACTACAGAAGCCTTCGCAATATGAATCGAAAAGCCACAGCTCTGTGTTCAAAAGAAACTAGTCCAACCTTTACCACTACTATGGACCTAGTTTGGTATGTTTCCTTAGCCTTCGTCTTTTTTTGTTCTGTTCGCTGTGTATGTATTTTTTCCCTTTTTGTCTTCATTCAATTCATCCCATTTCTTTTTCAGTTATAAGAACAGAAATCTTAAGTTTATTTCCAAGCTCTTCCTGCTCACATTCGTGATTCGTTTAAAATAAGTATTTTACAATAATATCCTAATCCTGTATAATTTTGTTTCTAAGCCTCCCGTGACCCTTATCAAAATGTAAAAAATAATCGCCACCTTTTCCTCGCCTTCGTAATTATCTGGAATTAAATAATAATTGTATCTGTAAATTTGTGTATTTAAATGCGATTGTACAGCTGCTTTTGAAAATAAAATCGCCGAAAAGATATCTGTTTGCTGAACTTCGTGTTCTTTTTTCGCTGACTGATTACTGCACTGAAGTTATAAATGTCGTCATTGTAGACGAAAATACAAGAAGTTAACACGAGACCGACAAAAATAGTTGTATACCTTACCAGCAAAACTATTGTCCAATAGTAGGTGGAGATGTAAAATAGTTGGAGGCAATCGGCAAGAAGCAGTCCTACAGGAGGTCAATCGCTAGCCTAAATAGCTCAGTGGTTACGTCTCTGACTGCAGCCCCACTGGGTGACGCGGGTTCGAATCTCAGAAGGGACGTGAGTTCCTTAGAGGTTGCAGATACGCCTTGCTGATGAGTGCCAACTAGCACGAAACCTAGGTCAAGCAAGGCTTCCTGCCGATTGCCTCCAACTATCTAATATCATCAAATCAATGTGCACCGTGATGGCGAGCTACCTAGAATGGTGGCCACATTGCAAAACCTGAGTGATAGAATTCAGTCTGCACCAAAAAGAGGACGAGACTCGTCACACTAGTTACTAGTGTGCAATCCCAGGTGGAGATGTCATTTATTGGTAAGATAGTCCAGGTTTAAACTAATGGGCTCTAAGTTTGAACCACCTACTTCAACCTGTGTAAATGGGTAGGACGACCAGCTCTCTCTCTCTTTCTCACAGACACACACACACAATAAGTGTGATTCAGACTGATATGTGAAAAATTTATTCTGTGTTACTGAGGTATAACAACATTGTTCAATAATAATTAGCAGTCACAACATCGGTCACCTGTTCAAGTAAACTAGAAATATGATGTCTAAAATATAGTTTAATTAGAATTTTATGCATCTGAGTAGCCCCACGTTACCCCAAATGCTATTAGTTTAGGAATAAATATAAGTTATATAAAACTAATAGTTATTTGAAGATGAAATGGGAAAAGTAATAAGGCAGCTGAAGAAAAACAACTTATTCATGTGTTCTCAAACAAAAATATAATCGAGTTGACGATATAACAAGTTAATCTAATCATCTTCACAACGTTGCTTGGTTTTTCTGATTTATTAAAAAACATAGGAAAGCTGAGTAATCGACTAGAAACCACCAATAAAATAAGAGTTATAACGTCAAATGCAAGAAGAAGACATCAATCAGAGTAGTAGAGTAGTAGACGAAGCTTAAAACTGAAAGGTAATCAAAAAGTAAGGTAGTGGCTCTACTATCAGTCTGTCTGTTTTCAAACATAGAACTCTGCACCGATGTGCAGCAGTTCAAGTCGACACACTCCATGTAGCACACAAAGCAAGAGAAGAAAGTAGAAGAAATGCAAAATAGAGACAGTATACAGGGATATAAGGCAACAAGATTAGTAATAACGAAAAACGATATAGTTTCATTAGAAATTATAAGTCACAAGGAGTGGATACATCTGCGCTATTCATTTAGAACGATTTTGAGCCATATCACCAATTGTCTTCAGCCCTCATTGGATTTTACCATCACTAGGACCCCAACCAGGAAGTCTGCATTTTCCTACGTGGCTTAAACTAACTGTTGTGGATTTCATCGGCTGGTGTAAAGTTTCGCTTTGACCACCGCTAGCTCTTTTTCGGACTGATCATATGTCAGCTAAGATTGGCCGTCGAGGAAGGTGATGACTAGGCGTATGTAAAACCTGTCCCAACTATCTCAGTCGATGTAGCTCCACAACCTCGTCGATTGATTTCCCCTCCTTACCTAGCACTTGATGACTAAACTCAATATTGCTCACCCTATTATACCACTTCACACGGGAGACAGAACGCAGACACCTATGATTAAATACAGGTAGCCAGGCTTTTCATTTCTTCCACTCTCAATGGCCAGGTTTCATAGCCATAAAGGAGGACGGAGCGAAATGCTGAGCAGTACATCCGCCCTTTGGTCTATAGCCAGTCGTATATCACGTCTACGCCAGAGACGGTGTAAACTGGCATAAGCGAAACTAGCCCTCTGTATCCGTGCTGAGATTTCGTCAGCGATCAACCTGTTGGGGCTGAAATGGTCATCATGCTCTACCACTTCACTCCCTATTTCTAAGCTAGAAATCAGTGTAGTCCAGTCCTGTAACATCATCTTACATTTGGCGGGAGCGAATCGCATGTCAAACATTCGCAGATTGCAGATCAAGGTGTTCAGAAGACTACACTACATATATAAGTGAATAAATAACAAGACATAAAGACAGACAGTGCATAAACTGATATCACTGTAAAATACTGAGTTATCAGTCTTTACACCAACACACAAATGAGAAACATCACCAAGACTACATGTAAAGGCAGTATGAAAATAATGATACCAGGATTCGTGAAAACAAAAAATTAAAAGAAACAAGCAATTCACCACCACATAGAACAACAATGTAACGCTTAAACTTTAAAGTGAACCAAGACCCACCCCACCCCACCCCCGGAATGTTCCAATGACAGTGCAATAGAACAACAACAATTTCACCAGATTACACAGGTGATTACCTTTATAATGCGCTTATAATTTCAAATTTCTTATTAGATCTTTTGGTGACTAGTACTGGCGTCATTTTTTCAGCATTACTCATTATTCACTTAGATGTAGGTAAATAATCCAGAATAGAGGTTACACAGTACAGTGAAATAGAAATTCTTTATTCCAATGCTAATAACCACAAAACAAATAACATTTTCAGAATTACTTATATGTATAATGATGTGTATATAAATGAATGTATATCACTTACCTCAGGTATAAGTACAATTATGGAAGTTGATAATAAAGAGCCAACAGCAGTAGCAACCATAAATGAGAGTAGTGTAGGAAAAAAACGATATTTTTTGAGAAGGGTAAATATAACTCCGAGTAACGCGCTTAAATTGACTAGTGTTACACAAAGAAACCCATATCCCAAACCTAAATGTGGAAAAAATGAAAATAATGATATTAATTTTTAGCATAAATTAAAAACTTTATCATGAAAAATATTCATGCACTCATTATTATTATTATAATATTATACTCCTTTGGGTTCCTACTGGAACATAGGGCTTTAACAATACACCTCCACTTCGTCCTATTTTCCGCTGTCCTCTTCATCTGGCTAGGTCCACGATTGACCATAATCTCTCGTCTCCTCCTAGCACAATCTCTTCCATATCACCTGAAAACGACCAACCCATCGTTTCCAATTTGGACTGTACTCGATCGATGGCTTGCATTGCACGCGGTGTCATTCAATGGCCTCCTCAACGTATGCAAGATCCATCCCTGTTTAATCGTACATATTTGTTGAGCGAACGGTTCTTGGTTGGCTTGTTCCCAGAGTATTTTTTTGCTGATTCTTTCTGGCCGGCTGGCCATTCAATCTTCGATATAGAGCGAAGGCAGCTGTTGATAAAAGTCCGCAACCTGTTGGAAATGCTTTTTCATGACCCGTTTCGTGGTGGCCAGGTTTCTGACCAATATAGAACTGACATAACATTGGTGTTCAAAATCCGAATCTTGTTCATCATGCTGCGGAGTGCAGAAGATTTCCAAACTGGTTCCAATTTGATGAAGGCGTATCTTGCCTTTCTGATTCTGACTGGGTATGATATATTCATCCGCTCCACCTGTGGTTAACAGGATGCTTCTTAGATAAGTGAAGGAGGAATTAACCTCTGTCAAATCTCTCCCATTGATGGTGATTGGTGCTGGTTGTAATTGCTGTTCTTTGGTTATCTTCATCACCTCCGTCTTCTCTATGTCCACCTGGGGTCCTGTCTTCTCTGCCTGCATCTCCAGCCCGTTTATTGGTTTTCGTCTGCAAGTCTTCGAGTCTGTGTGACATTAAAAATCACTCTCCATGTGTCCTTACGATACATCAATTTCTCTAGTGTCCTGCCTGTTTGCTTCTACAAGCTGATATCCAGGAGGTGGAAATTTTCAGCATCTTCGTGTTCCATCTTGGAAGTGATGCTCTTATGTACATTGTTGAATAAACCCAGTAGAGATAAAGTGTGACTGAAACCACTGCAAGCCAACGAATGTGTCATCCATGTATCTATAGTAGGCTGTTGTTTTATCAATTGTACACTTGAGCTTTGACTGTTCTAGACTAACTATTAAAAATATCTACTAATACAGGACCCAATGGACTCCCCATTGCCACTCCATCAATTTGGTGATACACTGGAATTGTATATCCTTGGTACATAACATAGGTAGCTGCTTAAAGCCCAGTTTTCGGCATATGAAACAGATCAGTGTGTTGACAGATGATATCTAACGTCTCATGTAGTAAGACCTGTGCAAATAGAGAGGTCACGTAGAAGCAGGCCGTGAATTTATCACATACATTAAGTTGACTCACTTTTTCAACGAAATGGAACGAATCTTTCAGAGTATGTTTAGCTAGTCATTGTCTAACAGGTTCCAACTTATCGGCTAACCAACTAGCAACTGCGTAGAAGGGTGAATTCATTATTGGGCAATTCTTTTTATGTATGTAGACCACACATATGTGGTGGACGAGACCTCTTGAGCTTTAATTCAGTGTATGTATGATAGTCACTCATTAACTTTTTCAACAACCCTCTTAGTACTTTTGTGACTTTTATTTCTGTCGAATCCGTCATATTCTCCTTATGGTTATCAATCTTGAATATCAATGTGTCGTAAAGAATGGACTCCATTTTTTGAATATAGTCAAGCTTTGTTCATCACTACCACGTCTGAACCTTTATCTGGCCGCAGTATGACGATATCTTCATTACCCAGCAAACGTTCAATTGTTTTTCAGCGCTATTTAGTCATGACTCTAGACTGTTGAATTGGTGAACAAAGGTATTGGTTAGAGAATGTCAACTAGTCTTGACTTGAACCAACCTTTCTTGTCTTCACTAGCAGGATATAATGGGTTGGTTAACTGATTGAATAAACCAATGCTTTTTTCTTTCTCTATCCATATGGAAGACAGTAGGATCTAAGAAAACGCCTACTATACACTGCTCTAAAATATTCCTACGTACTTTTATGGACTAAAAGTCAAAAAGTTATATAACCGGATTCGTACAAAAGCTAGAAATTAAAATCCACATATTAGCTCTAAATATAATACACCAAAAATCAGTCTGGAGGAAAGTTGGGGAGAGAAAAACAGAAAACAAAACAAAGCAAAACAGGAAGTGGTAGTGATGATATGATTCTAATATCTAAGCTTAACCACAATGTCAAAGCGATATAATAACTGTACATGATCCTAATCTAGGGCTAACGTGTTCATCTCATTTCGTAACATTTCATCTGATAAAAATCATTATGCACATAACAGAGAAATCATGAAAACATTGGTAGACAAAACTGATAAAATAAACAAGAGTATAGTCAAATTATCCATTCTAAAATTATAATATAATACAAAATAATATATACCAGTTTGTTTATTTATTTTATAAGTAAATATTAATCAAGTCAAGTATACAATATTCTGATTGGTGTTTATTTTTGTGGTATTCTGAATGTTAATTAGGTAGAAATCTGTAAGGCTTATATAATCGTTATTGTATTCATCATAAAGGACGCTTAATTCTCAATCATTCCAAACAGTATCCAACTTCTCTTTTGGCCATTTAAATGACAACGTTTCTCGACTTCACTTCGGCTTTCGACTCTGCACCTAGATGTCCCATGCTAAATAAGCTCTCTATGACGAAAATTGAGTCCTGGGTCACTAACTGGTTGCATTCCTACTTCTCTAACAGAAAGCAGTACACCGTATACAAAGGTAAATCATCCTCTGCTGCGCTCACTGAAGCGGGTGTCCCCCAAGGGGCTGTACTCTCCCCACTTCTCTTTTCTTTCTTTCTACATCACTTACCATTTTCAAATGACATTAATTTTGTCAAACATGCTGACGACCTGACAGTATCTTTGCCTGTCAAATGTCAAAGTGACTGCTCTAAACTTAATGGCTTTCTGTCAGAAATCAACCAGTGGTCCAAGGAAAACGGTCTTGCCTTAAACCCCTCCAAATGCCAAACAGTCAATTTCACCTTTAGGCATAAATCCGACCTAAACAAACTGGTTGGCTCTCCCGAGGTGTGTAACAAAGATGGCACTGAAATGGAAACCAAGTAGGAAATTAAATACCCAGGCGTCATTCTATCCGCTGATGTCGCCTGGTCGTCTCACATCTTGACGATTTCTAAGAAAATATTCCGTCTTACCTTCTACATCAAGAAGTTAAAACATTCTGGTATAACCCAATCCTTACTCCTACAATTCGTTAACTCTCGCATTATGACTATTATTCTCTATTGTCCCCCCTTAGTTTTTCCCGGGCTACTGAAGAAAGACTATAACATATTATGCAGGATGTTAAAGGTTGTCATCAGGGTAAGCAACGTGCCACTTAACCAGCTTGTTAATATTCTGGTCGATAGGCACTTGGATTCATGTGAAAAATGGGCCAAATCCATTTTATCTAACTCACACCACCCTCTTCACTCACAACTCTCCCCTTGCATCTCATCAGGCAAAACCAGAAGCCTATATAGAAAACTATATGGTCGCACTAGCAAGTACAAGAACTCAACCACACCCTACTTAGCTCATGTTCTGTGCGATAAAGAAAGCATTAGGCGTGACACCTATAACTCATTAAATAGTCAGTAGTACAACTGGACCTCGTCTTACCGACTCATATCATTTATAGGTACAACATTTTCTTTCTTCCTTTTCCTTTTCTCTCTCTCTCTTTTCCGTTATGTGCTGCTTTGTTTCTTTCTCTCGCTTACGCCAGTAAATATGATAGCACCTACTTTTCTAACCCCTTCAAACACTGTTCAGCTTTACCTTTGCTACCGACATGCCAATATGTTGTTGTCATAATGAACTGAGATTTCCTTAATCGATGTAGAATTCTATTTATTGATAATGCACTAACTGGATGCAATACTGTAGTAAAAATGCTGAGAATTCCATTCTGTATCACAAGTACTGTTTTGGAATAAAGCAAATTATTATTATTATTTTTAGACATTGCTAGTCGGTATTCTGATACTTATAAGGCAGAATTTCGAATATCGTTTTGTAATTCATAGATGTTCACGTGCATTGATACAAATATGCATCCTCAAATCAATAATTACCGACGTTCCTCTCGACAGATTGATCCGGACTTCGGGGGAATGATCATAATTAAGATACCAAAAGTATATATATATATATAAGGATGCATTTTCACACTAAAATCCTTGTCCAGTCATGAATGGTCATCAAATCAGGAAACAAATTGCGTGTAGTGTGATCAAGATTTAACTAGATAGCTTCACAATACTAGTATCGGTCTATTTTTTTACAGCGGCATTGTTGATTTCAGTCTCCCTGAGATTCATACAAATTTAATTCCTACAAATGTACCCGATTATTATGGGACCGTTCGCCCAGGTCTTCATCAGAATTCATTTGGACTACTTTTTGTCAGTTACACAATTCCTGTCCGATCGAAACTTCCCTTCTAAGTGAGATTGATGGACTATATAATCCGCATAGATATGTGTCGGTGGCACAGCGGTAGAATGCTCGCCAACCCCACACATTTGGTCCTTGGTTCGATCCCCGGCCGACGACGCAATCCTTTACTCCGCTAAGCTAGTAACAAGACTACTATAGGGGAAAGGTTGGACATGAGGCTAGCAACTCCGTCCCGTAAAGATAAACACCACTGCTACCGAAACCTCAAGCCTCTAGCTTGAAGCCCCATGTTCCACTGGGAACCTTACTTATTTGCAACCTCACAGTTACATATACACACACTCTTTAGCTAACAAATCACTCACAAGATAGAATGAAATATTAACATGAATAAACACCTTTTGCAAAATAGAAAAGCCTCTTGTAGACAGAAGCTGTGAATTGAATCAGCTTTCACCACAGAGTAATGGTAATTAATAGTAATACTAGTAATAGCTGTGCATCAATAAAATATGATTCTGAAATTTATTGGGTCAGTAAGGGTAAACCACATGATTTATGAAATTATTTAGCTTGTAAACACGTGTCTAGTGAGTTTTTAAGTAATCATTATTATTAGTAGTATTAGTATTATTATTATTAGCAGTACTATTGTCATAATAATAGCGAAGCGTAGAAGAATGCCAACACAGTTGTACAGAGTGTTTAAAGTGCTAGTCTTATAACTATAATCGTGAAAATGGAGTGAAACATAAACGAAAATTTCAACTGGTCAATTTTTAAACGAGAGAGAGAGAGAGAAAAAATACTTACTCATTGCCAATGTTGGACCAGGAGAAGTGGTCTTTGCATTGTCATTCAAAGAAGATTCATTCATTTTTGGCTTATGTGAATAATAGAAAAGATTAAAAAAAAAGCAAACATTTAGCTGATAAGTGTATAATATCAACAAGTGTATACAAACTGAGGGGTGCATAGGATTTTCACTCAGATTACGATTTCATTGGATATATTTAGCGCTACAAACAGGTTTCTCAAAGGTTTACTTTCAAAAGCAGAAAAAAACTCATCATCCATATCACTGTCCCCATTTCTGTTCAATTTCATTATAGATTTACTAATGTACTTTAACTGACTTCAGCGACCATGGATTCACTTGTTACCATCAGGGAATAATCTTGTTGACTTGGCATATGCAGATGATATAGCTCTCCCACCTGGGTGAAAATACTAAGAAAATGTAGAGTCTTCTCAACACCTTGGGGAGCAGCAATCTTTGAATGTTTGGCATGCGATTCACTTCCGTCAAATATAAGATGATGCTACAGGACTGGACTGGACTACACCGACTCAATCTTAGCAGACGGTGTTGATCTCTGACGAAATCTCAGCACGGATACAGAGGGCTAGTTTCGCATATGCCAGTTTACGCCATCTCTGGTGTAGACGTGATATACGGCTGGCTATAGACCAAAGGGCGGGTGTACTGTTCAGAAGTCCGTTCCGTCCTCCTTTATGGCTGTGAGACATCACCATTGAAAGTGAAAGACATGAAAAGCCTGGCTACCTGTATTTGATCATAGATGCCTGTGTTCTATCTCCCCTGTTAGGTGGTGGTATAATACTGTGAGTTATACTGAGTTGGTTAGGTGTCGAGTGCTAGATAAACAGAAGAAATCAATCAAACAGGTTGTGAAGTTACACCGATTGAGATGGTTAGGACATGTGTCACACATGCCTATTCACCACCTTTCTCGACAGGCAATGTTAGCTGACATAGTATAATTAAAATTAAAGTTATTTAGATGATGACTAACTGACTGACTGGTTTCAACATAGAACATTGCAGCAGTTCGAGTTACCACACTCCCTCCATGTAACACACAAAGCAAGAGAAGAGATTAAAGGGAGAGATAATAAACACAAGTTTGAGAGAAAAAGAATAGTAATATGGAAGAGTTATAGAGTTTTATCGGATATTATAAATCTCAAGGAGTGGATGCATCTGCACCAGCCATTGAGAACGAATATTTTGAGCCATATCACCAATTGTCTCCAGCTTTCACTGGTTCTCACCACCCAGAGGACCCCAAACAGACATCAGTCTACATCTCCCTACGTCGTCGGCCTAAACTAACTGTTATGAATTTCATTGACTGATAAAGCCATGTTTCAGTATGACCGCCACTGGCTCTTTCCCAACCTGATCCATTCTATGTCAGTCAGCTGCCGTTGCCTGTTATTGAGGAAGGCGATGGCTAGGCTAGGCTAGGCTAGGCTAGGCATATGTAACACACATCCTAACCATCTCAATCGGTGTAACTTCACAACCTCATCGATTGATTTCTACTCCTTACCTAGCACTCAACCGATGCCTAATCACAATATTACTCATCCTATTATACCACCTAATAGGGAGATAGAGCGCAGACACCTATGATCAAAGATAGACAGCCTTTTCAAAACATTTGTCTAGTGAAACACAGGAGTCGTCGTATCTGTATTACTAAAACAGACCTGATCCTCGCTGTTTCATACAACAGCTTTTGTCTATAAATTCAAAACTGACAGTAGTGACATTAATGCATCTAAGCATTATCTTAGGGTCAGTATATCATTTTACTATAAATTCTATTTATCTTGACTCTTTTTCACCGAAATTCTGACTTATGCCTCTATTACTATTATTAGTGGTAGTATTAGTACTTACTTTTCTCTCATAGATTTTCTTATTATGCATTCACCAATTAGAAAGTAGAAAATTGAACTAACAGGTGATGTATGTTATGCACACCTCCTGCTTATCTAACTTCATTTTTTGTTATATAACTTTGAAAGAAGTGGTATTAAAATTTACTGAGTAGCAACATTCATTACAACATAGTTCATTAACAACGACGACAACACCACCAACAACAACAACTATCTAGAAAGGCATATGGATATTATAATCCAACCTAACTATTATTAATATTGTTGTTCCCTTGGGTTCCTAGTGGAACATAGGGCTTCAACTACACTTCTCCACTTGCTTCTGTCTTCTGCTGTACTTTTCACCTGCATCCATGTTAATCCATACTGTTTCAATTCCTCTTCACACGATCTCCTCCATGTCACCCTTGCACTGACGTCCCACTGGCCGCTTCCCTTTCGGGTTCCACTCGAGCACTGGCCTGACGTGCGATGTCAGACAGCGGCCTCCTCAGCGAGTGTCCAATCTATCTCCACTTTCTACTGCATATTTGTTGAGCGATTGGTTCTTGTTTTGTTTGTCCCCATAGTTTCTTGTTGGTGATTCTTTCCGGCCGGCCATCTGATCTTCAGTATAGAGCGAAGACAGTTGTTGATAAAGGTCTGCAACAGGCTGTTGGAAATCCTTTTCGTGACACGCACACCACGTTTCTGATCTGTATAGAAGAACTAACTTGACATTTGTATTGTAAATCCGAATTTTGTTGTTGATGCTGAGTGACGAAGATTTCCAGATTGGTTTCAGGTTGATGAATGTGTTTCTCGCCTTTCCGATTCTCGATTTGACATCTTCGTCCATTCCTCCTGTAGTTGAGACAATGCTCCCTAGATAAGTGAATGAAGTAACCTCTTTCAAATCCCTCCCGTTGATGGTGATTGGCGCTGGATGTTGCTGCTGTTGTTGTTGTTGGTTGGTTATTTTCATAACTTCCGTGTTGTCTATGTTCACCTGGAGTCCTGTCTTTGCTGCTTCTTCGACCAGTTCGCCGGTTTTCGCTTGTAAGTGTGTGTGACATCGGACATAAATCATCTGCGAAATCCAGGTCTTCTAGGTTCTTCGCGTCGGTCCAGGATATCCCTGTCTTCTCGTTTCCCACTGTCTGACGCATAATCCAGTCCACCACAATTAGGAATACCTAACTAACTGATGAAAAAACCAAACCTATAAAAACATCAAATAAATCCAATTTGTTGACAAGAAAAAATCCTCAAGGCATGAGTACTATAAACAAGCAATATGACTATCAGAATAAAAAAAGTCTTACTTCATCGGTTGTATCCACTTGACATTCAATGTTACGCATAAGAATAACAATAAGCAATATTCCATGCAAAATTCCATAATATTTGGGACCTAATTTTTCCATATTCTGTAGGAAAAAACAACAAAACAAAAGAAGAGAAACAATTCGTTTAATTTCAAATGTGGTGGTGTGATACACACAATGGGTCCCAATGGAATATTATTCTCACAGTAAGAAACACTGTATATGTTGGTGTTAACGTCTGAATACTATCCCCACAGTTCATTAGGGCATTAGCAAAAGAATACTATATATGTATTGGAACATTCTAGTTCATGCCGTTTAATGTAAACCAAAATCACACGCTCAATGATTGGTTAAAGTATATAAACTGTAGATATATAAACAGCGGTTTGATTGATGGAAAATATACCTTGGCTTCCGTATCTCACATTCTGCTGTCACACAAATACTGACATTACATGATATTCATAATAAATCATTAATGTCAAGATATAAAATAAAATGGATTAAGAGAACGTTTTCGGGTATATTTTGGGGTAACACTAATACAATTTAGTTTCAGCAAAGAGATATGCTTAACAAGTTGTAGAACAGCCTATACTCATAAGTGATAGACTGAATATGAAATCAGTTGTTGTTATTATATGGTTGGAGGCAATCGGTAGGATAACCTCCAACTAGGTTTCGTGCTAGTTACCACTCACCAGTCAGCAAGGCATATCTACAACTGCCTTGAAGGAACTCATATGAATTCTGAGATTCGAACCAAACACTTGTTACTAGTGTCCAATCAAAGTATCCAATACAGTCCTACAGGAGGTCAATCGTGAGTCTGAATAGCTCAGTGGCTGGTAACGTCACTGACTGCAGCCCCACTGGGTGACGCGAGTGTGAATCTCAGAAGCGACATGAGTTCCTTCAAGGCAGTTGCAGATACACCTTGCTGACTGGTGAGTGACAGCCAACTAGCACGAAACCTAGTTGGAGGGATTCCTGCCGACTGCCTCAAACCATCGAATATCAACACTTCAGAGTGCACTGTGATGGTGAGCTACCTAGAATGGTGGCCACATTGCAAACCTGACTGATAGAATTCAGTCCGCACCAAACAAAGGACTAGACACATCACACTAGTTACTAGTGTCCAATCAAAGTAGACAGCTGTTGTATATTACTAAAAATTTGTATGCATTTTAACTTGTCACCTTAAACCCTATGTTAAGATGTTCCTTCATCTTCCCTTGGGTTTATTTCAACTCTGTTTCCGCTTTAATTCTTTAAATTTTAACAAAGATGAGCTAATGGTTTAAGTGAAAAGGATATTTCTCCAGGTTCTGAAGGAAAAATAGCCGTTTTTATCACCGTTTTTTACTAGTTTTTCAGAATATTGAATAAAGCACTTTAGTGGAAGCAAACCTGGTAGGACCAATACGTGTGTCACATATTTAAAAACGGATAGAAAATTCTAGTTTTGCATAATTTAAATACACCACAACACAGCTTCTCTTAAAAAGTAGTTTCGTGGTGAGAGCTGGCTGCTAGCCAAAGTTGGTAGACAGTAATTGACGTCAATGTTTATGTCCCCAATATTGGTGGTGAGAAAATGAGAACAAAGGCTTTGAGTAGGCGGATACAGTTAGCATATGGATGATCTGACACAGCCACAAAGAGATGCAAGGTTAACTTTCTGTGAGAAACAACCAATCAAAAGACTGTATTTTATACTAACAATAATCTACAATAATGTACATTAAAATCTATAAATATGTGTTGATTTTCCTTAATAAACGATCTGTTGCCTGGCCCTTGTCTTCTGTTGTTACAGTTTCACCGCACAAAAGTTGTACAGAAAAATATTTCTTTGTTCTTTTGGAATGTACATGAACTCGTCTTAAACCATAAGTAAAGAAAATTCAGCTAACAATGTTTTACCCCTCACAAATACATGTCAGATGGAATGAACCTCCTCCTGAAGCTTCAAGACCTACAGTTACTAATGATCACATCCAGGTAAGTGTGCAGATATGTCTTAATAACACATCAAAGAAGTAGACATACAGCGTCAGTCAACATTTGTAACTGGATATTTCCATTACGACAACTAAATTTTCGTGATAGAAGAGGAGAGCGATTTGTTGTTTGATACTATTTGTAAGAGAAAAGTTAATGCAGTACCTGGAGTTTAATCTATACTCCTTCATTAGCATAATTATTCACAGGCTTATTCAATGACGTAAGTTTCATAAACGTAAATAAATCTTTTTTTTAAATTAGGCCAAATTTGACAATAAGAACAACTTTAAAGATTACTGCGAGTTGTTTGGATGAGAAACCGAGTCAATTACCAACGACAGAATGAATATACGATGGATCTAAGTTAGTTAACAGGATTTGATATTTACGCCGAATGCTGATAATTGCCTTAACACAGAACAACATAACTTTGCTAGACCGTATTGTCAGTATGACATTTCCCATTTCCTGTAATCAATGAGTGAGCATCAACTGGCTTAATGCAAAGCTATCTTTTTACCTAATACGATACTATTCTTAAAGTCCTATGACACAATTAAGGGAAATAATTCAAATCGGAAGGCTCTGGGATCTGAATTTTCCCTTTCCTTAAAATCATTATTTGGGTACGTTAAGATCACTTTCCAACTATAACTACTTGCAAATAGTCTGGCGAAAAAAAAAATATCCAATAACTAAACCATCTCTAGTAGAAAAGTTAACACTAGGAAAGAGAACAGTACGAAAACAGTTTCGGGAAGAAAAAACATAAAGCTATAAACCTGGTTCAACATAAATCGTCAGGTAGATTATTCTCAACTGCTTTAGAAGAGAACTACGAAAACAAAACAAAAAATTAGGCAAAAATCGTCAAACTGAATGACATCTAAAAATGAAACCAGAAGCTACATAAAAACTTTAAAAATAGGAACGCTTGTTTTAATAATACTTTAAACATGTACAAAGATATTACGAGGACAAACAGCGTTCTGATTTTACGAATATTGTATTGCAGAACTCATTCAAGAAGACAGGTGCATAACGTCACATTTTCACTAGTAGGAAATGTATTCTAGTGTTTTCTAACTACTTCGTGAAGATGCTATATAAAGTATGCTTTTTTGACGGACATGATCCTCACACCAGTCACCGAGGAGCCTAAAGTATCAGAATGTGAACATTTCAAACACAATGTTTACAATTGTGTAGTCTGAGTGTTGACTGGTCCCTAGTATTACATAGGACGAGCGCAGTACAGAGAATAATGTCAGGAAGTTATTTCGCGTGAATCACATTTCTGTTGTCTACAAACCTGCTAAATTTTCTCATAATGTAGGTGCTAAATTGAAATATTAGGAAAAACACTTTTCCCTCCCACCATCATCATATTTAGTTACTCCTTCATATAACCCCTCAACAATATTTCAAAAACAACAAGTGCTTTATCTTAAGAATAGCCGACTAGTGATATATAATTTTTGTAAAGCACAAGCTGTATGCCGAACTAGTATACATCTGATACCGAATCTACCAGTCAGCGTTGGCAAAATTACGACACACAATGCAGTATGTGATTTCACATTGGATAGCATTATTACAATTTCCTATAGTTTGCAATAGAATAGAAAAAAAGCAATAGGACGAAACCAAAAGTAACGCCATTAAAACAATGGAGATTCGCTGAACACCACTAAAGTCGAGATTTCATATACATCATAGCAAAAGTTCCCTTCTGCAGCGATGTACATATTGTATGTCCTACGGAGTTTAAGCATGTAGTCAGAAATGTGTGAAACAAATGGAAAATTAAAAGTAAATAATACTAATGTTATATACGTAAAATCAGTAGAAGCTGAAGAACAAACGTAAAAACTAAAATATTGTTTCGACAACACAAAATTATTCCCACGTATTCACATTATTTAGAATGAGGAGAAATGATCGCTTTGAACTACTTGTCCTTGAAGAAATCTCACTGAAGAACTTTCATAAACAAGAAATCACATACGTGACTGTTAAACCTATGAAGCATTTAGACATATAATCAGATTTATTACATAGGAATGTAACGTTTTCTTAATATCCTGCAAACAAATGTGTTTTAGGCAAAGACTAATTTGTTCGGACGAATATTTCACTAAATGCAGTTCAATGAGAACAAAATATCAATTACCGGAATTTAAGTGGAAAGGGTAGCTACAACTAAAAACTAGGCTTAGATTCCGAAGAAGTCATCGAAATTCTAACCGACTAATTCATGCTCTCTAAAATAATTAAATACAAAACCTTATAATTGCCTGACGTATTAATTGGAACTTTTTACGACTACGGCGAAAAAAGGCTGTGAAACTTTGATGGGAAGTTGGATCAACCCCAACGGGTTGATAGCTGACGAAATATCAGTACAGTTATAGAGGGCAAGTTTCGCATGTGTCAGTTTACGCCGTCTCTGGCGTAGACGTAATATCCGGCTGGCTATAAACCAAAGGGCGGGTGTACTGCTCAGCAATTAGTTCCGTCCTGTTTTATGGTTGTGAGACCTGGCCATTGAGAGTGGAAGACATGAAACGCCTGGCTAGCTGTCTTTGATCATAGGTGTCTGCGTTCTATCTCCCGTGTGAAGTGGTATAATAAGGTGAGCAACATTGAGGTTAGGAGTCGAGTACTAGGTAAGGAGGGGAAATCAATCGACGAGGCTGTGAAGTCAGATCGATTGAGATGGTTAGGACATATGTCGCACATGCATCCCTAGCCATCGCCTTCCTCGACGGGCAATCTTAGGTGACATAGGGTCAGTCTGGAAAAGAGCTAGCGGCGGTCAAACCAAAACATGGCTTCATCAGTCAATAAAATTCATAACATTTAGTTTAACCCAGCCAAGTAGGGAGGTGTAGACTTCCTGGTTGGGGTCATCGGGAGGGTAAAAACCAATGGATAGACACAAACAGTGGCTCAAAATCGTTCTAAATGAATAGCGCAGATGAATCTACTCCTTGTGACTTATAATTTCCAATGAAACTATGTTGTTCTTCGATCTTACTATTCCTTTTGTCTCATATCCCTGTCTACTATCTCTATTTTGCATTTCTTCTACTTTCTTCTCTTGCTTTGTGTGGTACATGGACGCCCAATGCAGTACTGAATCTACTAACAAAATCGTGAAAGAAAAGAGAAGAAAATGTTTTCTACCACTCGATATATCATACTGAATTTATTTCAAAATATGGAGAATTTTATTGCAGAAAATATTCGAGGAACAATTAATCATGATATTAGAACAAACGCTCTTTAAATACCATAGATGAAATATTCAAAAAACTGGAAGGAGAGTGCTACTGAATTTTAATACCACAGTGAATGAAGTCTAGGATCCACTAGACTTTATAGAAAGACTTTGTACATAAAACCAAGAATTAAGATGAATATCAAATATCTAGATGACTTAGGATAAATTGTGCCATTCAAATAAATTATTTTAGTAGAATCACTAAAGACTATAACTATTAACGAAGCAGCAAAGAGTTAATATAGTGATGTATCTACCAAAGAAACTATACACCACCAAGATGGTGTGTGCAGCAAAGAAACTGCCTGAAACGAAGCACTCATAAGAAAAGAATCCCTAAACTGGAAGTCAAAAATAAGCGAAAACATTAGAAACGCGGAAACACCATTAAAAACGAAGGTTAAACATCAAACATCCACTGTCTGAGTTTCCAAATAATGTGTAGAAAGTGCGAAATACGTGGAGATAATGTGAACATTGTATAAGCGTAAAAGCCATTCTGTTGCACAGATGCTTCAAACTGTTTTAAAAGGCTTATAATTTTAGTCAATAAAGATAAATAGTACACATCCAAAAGTATAGCTTTTCCTTGACATGGACAGAAGGCATCTATTCTGCACCTTAACTTTAATTATGGGATATTTGAAACCGTATTCAGTTTTGGTGAGGTAAAAACTGGATGGAATTCAAGAACCATGTTTGCGTTTAAATAATAATAATAGGATTCGTCATTTGTGTGAGATGTGATAATGTTACATGGTTTTCCAGACTTCGGATCCTAATCTGTCTGTGAAATATAAGCCCAAGATCCAAACAGTATCGTCAAGTATAATTTACTTCACTATAAAGTACTTAGCTGGCTCTAAAGTCAGATCTGATCTACAGTAAAGCAGAAATCATAAATATCCAGACCATAGCTGTTTCAAATCCCCTGGAATGTTTACTGTACATAAATTGGAATTATAACGACATGTTTTACGTGTGAACTGATTAAATTTCTAAAACATTGGCAATAATGGCCAAAAACAAGCATGCTAAAGAGCATATCTTCGTTACATTACTTATGCATTAAAATCAGGGATTTTCGTTCTTACGTTTGGAGCTAGCAACATATCTTGTTTTCGTCTTTTCCCCAATTAGTTACCAGGGAAATGACATTATCGTTGTCTGGTGGATTTAAACGGAATTCGGGGTCTTAAATGTTCGTGTATAATTACTTTTTCTGCACAGTTAATGTTTTCTTCCTGTTTCCGTTGACTAGTTTTCATACAAAACAATCGTAATAACTGTTTTCAAGCAGTATCGTGAAAATTCATCAATTCTTCATTTATCATCCGAACATACAGAGATCATACGCTATATATTATGGCTTAGCGTATATTATAAGGAAACAATACTAAAAAAGTAAGTATAGTGCCTAACCCGCATATTTTTTTCTCGTATAAATTCACCTTTTATAACACTACTTAAATACGGATATTTGAATCAATTTGTGGGAATGCTGATCAAAACTAAAAACAGTAAAAGAACATAATCCATCCGCTAACAAAAATCTTTAATGTATTCTGATGCAGTTCATGTGCGAACTGTCTAAAGACAATCATATACAAAACCAATGCAGATCGATGTTTATATAGGTCTAATGGTGACAAGACTGAAGGATGAATTTCCTAAAATAACCATTTCTTTTCGTCTTAATGACTTATACTGTAAGGTTATTATGTTAGTCACTGATGTAGTTTCATAACTGTTTAAACTGTTTTATCTCTCGCCGTCATAAAATCTGTATACGGCCTTCACCTAAACCGCTTAATCTAAAAGTCATAGAGATAAACGACCAGTCATCCTGTGTTAATAACCATGTACCCACAAAATTGACAGAAACAAGTAGACTGTGAATTTTACAAAGACCAAAACAATAAAAAGCTGGGATTGCACACGCAAAAGAAACATGTACAGTTTGACCCTCTATACGTGTTATGTGATACTTCAACTAGTATTCATCATACATGAGTATCTCTTCGGTCTGATTAATATATCATAAAAGTATTTTGGTTTTCCGGATATCACTGACGACTATACGTTCGCCAAAATTACATATAAATTTGACTGCAAAGCCCTGTGGATGAACTTGACAAAAGAAACGCTTGTCCGAACATTCATTTCAATATTTAAAGTCCCGAAATCCCTGAAACGCATTTAGGTCTATCAATTGCAAATAGCTATTTACGAAACAGCTGAAAAAGGAGCAATAAACATAAACATATGCATACAAAGTTGATGCTAAATCATTTCATAGTTTCGCAGGAAACAAATTTAGTCCGTAGTCTAGAATACACTTATCTAAACCACAGAAAAAATAAACATTGTCCCGGTGTTTACCTAAAATAGCCTCTCAGTTTTATGCGGAATATTTTGCAAACCAAAATTTAACTTGTTCAGTTATACGTGAGCGGGATTTATCACCTGGAATAACCATTCAAAAGACATATATCTTGAAGTCAATATTTTTAACCATAACACTACATAATCACTAGCCTAGTAATTCGAGACCGAGACGATTAAAATATAAAAATCAAAAAAGATAGCACGCAAATTATGCCCAAAAATTTCATCTGAACAAGCAAAATTTTAGACAACATTTAAAATTGGAGAGAGGACAGAATACGCATTTACAACTTCAATTGCCATTCCCTTAGAGAGGTAAGGTATCAAAACATCACTTTTTAGTCCAGTAACATTAAAGGCGTTTAATAACTATTTTACATAAAATATATCAAGTCAATACAAGTGATTACAGAACACTCATGTCTGACCGACAGAAACATAACCAAAAGATTATGTATGCAAATCATCTTAATCTATTCAGTTTACCTTGAACAAATTCTATCAGAAATCCAAATTCTGACTTTGGCGAAAGTTCAGATAAGAATATATATATATATATGGAGACGAAAACCCAGGCGAACGACCCTGGGGTTTAAATTATGTGTGTAGGACAAGTTAAGAGTAAATTTGAGTGATTTGATGGAGTAAAACAATGTACAATGTACAATCTCTGCACCTTACAATGTATAATTTCAGATGTCGTTTTTACGAGCTAGTATAAACTAATTTTATTTCTTAATGCTCACTTCTTGATTGTGAGGTAAAGGTTCCTGGTCTTCGGTAAACTTCTGCGCATTTCGTCCCCCCCACTCGACTGTCGTAGCTTTGGTTGACTCCAAAAGGAGTAGTGCTAAGATTAATTATATGTTGTTTGTAGTATAGTGTATGTTAAGACTTTGTTACTACTGTGAATGGAGTTGATCCTTTCACCAGTTATTCCTCCGGTATTGTCGTCAAAAGAAAAGATAATTATAATAACAGATATAATTAGCGTAGGTTATTCAAACCATACGACAGAAAAAGATATGAAGAAAAAGTAAAAACAGACAGCTAATTAAATTTAAATTTGATATATGTATATATACATATATATGTGTATAGCATCAGTAATAATAATAATAATACTAAGTGTAAGTGTAGTAGTCGGAGTTGTCTGGGGAGTAAGACGAGAGAGAATGCAAAGGAGGAAAACTACTGATTTAGTTGCCTACCCCTGAATAATGTATGGCATTTTAAGTGGATAGGCCGTTCGGATGCAGTCCTCGTGTCGCTGCATGATTTTCCAGCCTTCGCTTAAAGTTGCCCACAGACGGTGCCAGGGCTACATCTGCCGGTAGGGAGTTCCATGGACGGCAAACTAGCAGTGAAAAGAAGTGGGAGCGTACCCGGGTCTTTGCCTTCTGTTGAGCTATCATTCCGGGATTTCCACGAGGAAGCCTATACCTACACAATGGCAGACCACTTTTTTTGGGTGATTCTGGTCATTCGTTATTTTTTAGGCAGTAATCAAACCCCCAACTGTAGCTTAGTGTAATTAGGCCTAATTTCTTTAGCATTTCAACATACGGTCTATTTCGGAGACCAAATACTCCTTTTGTCGCCTGTTTTTGGACTCTTTCCAAGAGGTTGGCGTCTCTTCTAAGTAGTGGTGCTGCAATGACATTATGTCCTCCAAGGTGTGGTCTGACGTATGATTTGTACAACATTAGAAAGAGCTCAGGAGTGAGTGCACTCAACTTTCTATGTGTAAAGTGTATGATTGCATATGCACTCACTACATCCCCCGTGCAATTTACACGTGTGTCCACTTTTACCGTTAGAACTAGACCATGCTCGCGCTCCGACGTTGTGCGGGACAAACTTTCGTTGCATTGTGCAGCCTACAGGGGCGTAATTTCACTACTTTGCAGTTTTTCAGGTCGAAAGTCATGCCATTGGAAATCGCCCAGTCTTCCATAAGCTTTAGGTATGCCCACAGCCTATCTGAGTCTTCCGAACACTTTATTGCTCTCCATATCTTTATGTCGTCAGCGTAAAGAAGAGTCGGGCAGCTTAGACGGCATGGCGGGTTGTTTATAAAAATCAAAAACATTAATGGTCTTAGCACAGAACCCTGCAACACTCCTGATGACGAGCCGTGCCATGATGATCGGACTTCATTGATCTTAGTGCAGAATTTCTTCTCAGCTAGGTGGTCCTTAAACCATGACAGAAGCGGCTCAGCTATGCCTGCCTGACTTATTTTGTGTGGGAGAAGGTCATGGTGAACTGTGAGAAATGCCTTCTCAAAGTCTAGGAAGATCACATGGACTGGAACATTCATATCTCAACATGACGTCCAATCGTCCCAAGCTGATAGTGGGTCTGTAACACAGGATCTGCCTTTTCTGAAACAGTGTTGGCCTTATGCAGTCTGTTGGTCCTGTCGAGGTGCTCCTTGATGTGATCATCAGTAATAATTCCCAGTAGTTTTGATACCACTGTTAGCAGAGATACTTGTCTATATCCAGTAGCACTTTGCCTATCCCCACCCTTGAAGATCGAACAAAGAATGCCTCCTTTCCACCACCATGGCAGCTTCCCTGAATCCATCGAGTGTTGTAACAAGTCGCATAAGGGCCTACAGATAGCTTTGGAGCACTGTTTCTTAATGGTTTGTACTAGATTTTGGCTGAATTTTTCTTGAGCATACACCGAGCCAAAGTTCAGGGATGGGGCATTTGAAACTCCAGCTATGGTGATTTGGTCACAGCCCAAGTCCCGTATCCTTGTGGTGGTGCCGAGCAGCAGCTGGTTGTGCTCTGCACCATAGGTGGGTGATCAATAGATGCCAACCAGCAAGTGCTTGGTGTAACCTACGGTAGAATGACACTATATAGAGTCTGGGAGTCCGGTAAGTGGTGGGTCCGTTGCACGTACGCATCTAAGATGCTTATCAAAGTATATGGCAACTCGTCCCTCTTCCAAGTTATATCTATCTCTCCGGACCAGAACCATATCACTTATACTGATTTCGTTGTCGGTGATAGTGGGGCTAGCCAGGTTTCAGTCAGGATCTTTATTTTAATCTCTATATGTGACTGGAGGATCCTGAGTTCACCTACTTTACCTCTAAGCCCCCTCAAATTGCTATGCAGGCAACTAACAGTGTGTCTCACAACCTCAGCGTGTTGTGGAGTAGTTGACGCTACGTTGTCTGCTGGTAGAGGACTTAATATTGGGGCTAGTTGGCAGATTCCGATGGAACCAGCCTGTTGTCATTTTATGCCTTGGATTCAGTTGGGATACTTGGGGGACGTTGACTGTCATTCTCAGCACCACATCGCTGTAGCTTCACTGAGGCTTGGGAAAGTATTAGGACCTCATTTAGCTGCCTCCTTATGGTTCGAGGTCTGCTTTCACAGCATCGGATGTGTCCTGCCAGTTTGCCCTTGGTCTCGAACCACTGTTGAGGTACTACAGCCAACTGTCCTTGGGAATTGAATTTTACACTTAGTAGCCTTAGGAAGCTAATCAATGTGAGATGATCAAGGCTAGGTAGCCGGAGAATCGAGGTTGTTCCATAAGCACCAAGGGCCATCTGAGGTGACGGCCATCTCCGTTACTGTACGTCATGCATGTTTTTCACAAGAAGTGCTAGTTTCCAGCTCCGAGACACCGTGTATGACCATGGAGGTAGAAGGCTTCAGTTCCGGTGACTCCCTCGCCATTTGCCTGTTATCTCATGGCCTATCATGCCTCACTCTTATACTGGAACTCCTGCCGACAGCCTCTTCGGCAGAACCCAGTGTAACTCTTAATGGAGGTGGATTACCTTGGGGTGCATAGACACTCCTGTACAGCCTGCACAAATTTACTAAATTGATGTTCAGGCGTAATTTACTGCACAAATTAGACCACTGTTCCTGAACAAAGAGGGACCGTCGTTCAAGCAAGTTATCATCACACACGGGTACATTAAAAAGGGTAAGGGAGTTAGATCGACTGACCTCAAACTTATGTTTGGTTTTCGGCTGCTTGTCCTCCCTTGCAGGGCCATTCACTTTGGACTTTATCAGCTTCTGAGTAGCCTTTGCAATGTTATCAAGCTTGCTGGTGGATGGAAGTGGTGCACTGGCAATTCCAACTCCCCATGTTGTTGTAGGTGTAGCCTTGGTAGTCTTCACTTTATAAAGATTGGTATTTCTAGTCGGTTGGACTGGAAAATACTTCTTACTGTTTTTACCCAGTTTTGGTAGTATGATGTTATCAGATGAGGAGCTGCATGAGAGTGTGTCGATACACATAAGTGGTGTGCTGTTTCCGCTGTCCGCAGACACGCTGTGTGGACAGATGTACCAGAACCATGAGCAAGGGTTATTTCACATAAATCAAATTTATGTAGTTTAAATAATACTTATCCATGATTGTAAAACTGGTGTGTCCTACATAGGTAGGAATAAATATGTACCTTATTATATTATCATTACTAAGTATGCTTACTAATCGTATGTGTAATTTATCGAATTGATGATGCCTGTAAACTGGCATCCCTCATGTACAAAAAATGGGAATATATTCTTATTGTTATTATTATAAACTCAAAATATGGTTTAGGCACCCTTTTGTCAGGACGGTAATTAACCCATCGTGTGCAAAAATTGCATTCGAGTGCTGAATAAGTTTTAGAAACGATAACACTACAGGCCCGACACTCGTTTACTCTTCTAGATGATTCTTTCGAAGTCGCATGACGTCTTGAGCGTTCCTTTTTTGCGTTGTCTCACACTGGCTTCCAATGGATACAGGTGTAGCACCATGTCCACCTGGTATTGCCTGTGCCGTTTAAGTGCAAGACTGTGGCAGTGCAGGCGTGGTACCAGAACGGGCGAGATGTACACGGGTCTTTACAGTCGGTATGAGAGATGGGATCTATGTCCCTGGGTTATTGCCTCCCCTGGCCAAAGGCCTTGTGACTACAGAACATGGTGTTTTAGTACTTTTTCTAAGGCTACTATCAACAGCCATATTGATAATCGCTATAACTTATCCTGTATAAAAATAAGAGAGCAACAGTATCCACCCAAAACAACAAGAATAATGCTGATAAAGTACAAGATAAAGAAAAGAAAAGGTTTTCGACTTCACCTAATACTTTTTGGTTACTCAGCTTCACAGCAATCACGTGATAGACCAAAAAGTCTTGTTTATCTGAACCAGTGAGCATGATGCTGCTACAAAAGTAGCATCTGAAGCTTTAGCGCCAGTTCGAGACTGCTGGACTTACCACAGAGTGATTTGATATGTAAGTAATGGTTGAATTTAATCTACCGGCTAGGAAGATCAGGTTTCCAAGCGGATAATTCACAAGATGGGCATTTTCCGGTTAGTGAGGAAAAAGTACGTCGTATTTAAGGAGCGCCTTCACTTAGACCCTTCTCAAAGCTATACATTGCACAAAAAAGTTTCAGGTGTGCGCATTTATCATATAATTGATGAATTCTCTAAAAATGAATGGAGTTGCAATCATTTTCCCCGCATAGTTAACGCGAGATTGACTTATTTGGGAACTGGGCGAAATTCCCATGCGTCTAAATATCACTCATTCCGTTCGGCTACTGCGATTCTTC